CGCGGCCATTTTTCCGCCCGTGCCACGTGGTCCGCGGCCATTTTTCCGCCCGTGCCACGTGGTCAGCGGCCGTTTTTCCGCCCCTGACGCATGGTCCGTGGACGCTGGAACGGATTAACGGTAATTACATTGAACCTTATGGGAAAATTTACTTCGACTTGCGACCAACTCGACTTGCAGTCAGAGTCACGGAACAGATTAAGTTCGTAAGTAGACTTACCACTATAACTCCCTTGAAAGAAACTATTTTCATAGAATATTGCCTCTTTGTTTTTTCAGAACTCTATTGTCTTTGTAGTCCTTCCCCATTACTTCAGTTATACCTAATGGCCTCACTAGGTATATAATTCAGTCAAGCCTCTTGCTTCCTTTTTGCCCAAATGTATAAAGAGGGACTGTAACCCTGCCCCTCTTTAACCCTCCGGAACTGTCAATAAACCAGTTTGTGCTTCAGTGTCACGTGTCCTGGTCTCCAGCTCAGACATATTCCTGGGAAAATTTCTCTCTGTCTCTCAGCGTCCTTTCCTGTATGAATTTTGGAGTGTGAGAAAGTGGTATAGAAGAGGAAGGATTGGATGTGATATGGGACATAAGGATAGCCCTATCTGTGGCTGTTCTGATGTGATATTTGTCTGCACGATTTTTGAAAAGTTCAGAAAGAACGAACCAGCATAGCACAGCGGCTAGACTGACAAACCTGGACTGGTAAGACCTAGGTTTAAATCCCTCCTGCGAGCTCATTGGGCAACTGGGAGCCAGTCATTCTCTCAGCCCAACATACTTCTCAGGGATAACAAAAATTGTAAAATAAAATTAAGGGGTAACTCTTATGGGCTCTGAGGAACAGATGGGCTATAAATACAATAGGTTCTCCTGGGCTTTCAGAATTGCTCAACACCATGCCGTGCTGGAACGAATCATTTGCATGCTGTTTAAAAAAACCCCACAATTTTCTGTCTTTTCAGCTGCAGCCAGACACAATAGTTGAAGTGTGGAAGAGCTTCTATCAACTTGAATTAGCAAAAGTAACAGCACATGGCCATCAGGCAATCCTTGCTGCACCTTGGTACTTAGACCTCATTAGTTATGGCGAGGACTGGAAGAACTATTACAATGTTGAACCACTGAGCTTTATTGGTTTGTCGAAATCTTGCATTTGCTTTTTTCTGTGGGAGTTGGGCGTTTTTAATACCTTTGGATTTCAGTGCAAGAGCAGCATATTCCCATTTAAATTAACTGGCTGTGCTCAAATTCACTTATCCACTTCTTGGGATAAACTACAGGAAAGCTTCCTATTCCATGGTTTATGTGAAGGTTGTTAGTTTTGTAGCCCTAAGGATAAAATACTGAGTGTATGAACCCATCACATTCCATGGATTTAAGCAATCAACACTCTTCAGTTTAAGTAATTACCAACACTGGGCTACACATTTAGGTCAGTTGGGTTTCTTTAGTTAATGTTAAGTTTGTATTTTAAACACTCTTTTCAGTCACAAAGGGGAAATGCTTTTTCTATTCCTTTAAACACAGGAAGCATGTCACAGAAGGAGCTGGTGCTCGGTGGAGAGGCTTGTCTTTGGGGAGAATATGTGGATGCAACTAATCTTACACCAAGACTCTGGTACAGCTCATTACTTACCTAGCTTGTTTCTCCTTTCATAAATGTTAAGCATCTAATCTTACTGATGCTTGTTTCTGCTTTAAAACAGAGATAAAAAACATGTGTATACTTTCCTTACATCAGAGGATTGCAAATGTCTATTTTCCACCTGTCTCTTTTCCTCCTCATCTTATTATATTATATCATATTCAATTCAATTTATTGTTTTGACCACAGGTCATAACAAATTCTTATTATGTGTTTACTTACATGAAGGACTAATGAGCTCAATATAAGAAACTGCCTTTACAGATGGGAGACATAACAGAATTGGAGGCAAAGGTTTTGAATTGAAACTATCTATAGTCAAACTTCCAGCATGGAGAAAGCTTTACACAAGTAGTTCTAGACAATGTTACATCCTGATTCTTTGGATAGGATAGTACCATTCTATCATCAGTGAACACTTAAATCCTATCTGATTTGAATGTTTGGTTTTCTGTCCTTGCTCACTGGTTTATCATAACAAAATATACACAGGAAACTAAAACCTTTATTCTACCAATGCACACTTTCCCAATTTGAAGCTGACTGAGAATTCTGGAAGATGCTGGAGAAAACTAGATTTGGCATGTAATCCACAACCTATGGTCATAACTTCGGAATGCCTTTTTGTATAAAAGAACTTAGGCATGTTTAAGGCTCAAATTATGAAATATTTGCTTTCCATTCATGTAATACTAGTTAACATCACTTTTTTGAAGGACTGAGACTGATTAAGGAATGCTTCTCTCTGAATATGGCTGAATATTTTTTACACCATTCTTTTTCTATAGACTCTTCTTCATCTGCTGATCTTCAATAAATGAAATTGTGATTTAGAGCCCAAATAAAGTGGGAGAGGGCTTTAAAAAATGCAGATTTTACTCTGAATACCCTCAACTGAACACCTGTCCACATCTATTTTCCCTTCACTCCTGATATGAGATTCCCCCCAAATATTCCAAAAAATGTTTGGTGCCCTTGCCCACAAAATCACATCATGTACCATCTTGTATGATACAAGAAAGACCTATCTGTGCTAGTTTGAATATTCATAATCTGAAAGTGAATAAATATTGAACCCGTAAGCCAGAGTGACATTTTTATAATGTTGTATCAGAAATCTTGTAATTCAATATGGCTAATAAAAGGTACATATTCCGTCTTAAGAGTGAGTGAGTACAGATTCTTTAATGTTGCAGATACTTGTCCCTATTGTTTTTAAAGATATACTAACCATTTGATTTTTTAAATATTTGATTTAAATAAAATTGTATTGGTTTTGTAATTCCAGGCCACGGGCAAGTGCTGTTGCTGAGAGACTTTGGAGCAATAGAAGCGTAACTGATGTTTCAGATGCGTATAACAGACTTGCTCAACATCGTTGCCACATGCTTCGGTAAGAAATTGATACTCTAAGTATTTTATAATCTAATAAAGTGGTAGCTTGCCATCAAAGCTCCTTGTAAATTTCTTGCTACTCTTCTGCTACTAAATGAGCATATTTCAGTGCAGAAGAGAGGCTTCTGTGCAAAAAGATGGATGTAGCACAAGGTAGGCAGCCTGAAGCTTGAAGGCTGGATATGGCTCCATGAAGCTCCACCGAATTTGCAAGGATGTGGAAGTTATCATTTAGTTATATTTAATTATGTTAAATTATGTTAATTCAGCCAAATTCAGTTTTTGCCCTGCTCTAACACTTCCCCTGCCTTGGCTTAAATATGATTTAAACACCATGTTCTAATAAACAGGAGTAACTTGATATTTACATTTCCCTGAGAAAACAATCAGTGGAGTTTTAAATGTGGATTTTCATTTTTTGCATTATGCAGGTACCTAGTCAGATATATGGAAGCAAATGAGTATAATTAAATTGTGCAGAAAAATTTCACAACTTATCTGGACCCAAAAAACCTCTTATGTGTAAGATTAATATTCTCCCATTATTTATGAAAATGGCATAAATGCGTCATCTTTCACCAAGCTTTTAACTCTTTTGTACTGATTTTACTGCCATATTTTATATTTTGTTTTAATTAAGTGTTTATATAAGCAGAAGGCAGGATATAAATTTAATTATTTTTTCTGACCTTGTATTTTTTCCTAATGCTGATTTTATTTTAATCCTGATTCTATCAGTTTAAGAATTTGCCCAGTATTTCATGGTTTTTAACTTAATTATGAACAGCTCAGAAATGTTTGGTATAAAAATAATGTAGACATGTATGCACACCTCTTCTTTTTAATTTGTCCTTCCTCAGCTATTAATACTAGATACCTGCCTAATATATATATTATTATATTTATATTATATTATAATATATTATATTATATTTTTATTATTTTAGACACCTGCTGTGAAACAGGTTATGTAATTGATAATGAGGGGTTTTTTAAAACGTAAACACACAGATTTTAGTCCTGGAACATATCTCTCTGCTTTTGTAGCTCTTTAAATTGTACTTGAACACAACTAACCCTCCCTTTGCAGGACACGTTGGCCACAGGTAAAACAACACAAACCCTTTTTCTCTTCTCCACAGGCGTGGAATTGCGGCACAGCCTTTGTACGTCGGATACTGCAGCCATGACTTCATCTGATCAGGGATCATAGCAAAAGTGCCTATTCTTCACTTAAATATTAGACTATGTATCAGTGTGAATTATATATCAAAAGAGAGAGAGATAAAACCACATAACTCTACAAAACCTTCTACATAACCACTCTGACCAGAAAACTACTAGTGCTTATTTTATCTACAACATAATATAACAGTTCAGGAAAGACACTTCTAGTTCTTCAGTGGAATAACTGATTCCAGTCATGAAACAAAATGTCAGCTTTCCCCAAGATGAATAATTATTTATATCTTAAAATTTCTACTGACACATAAATAAGCTGCAGCAGCAATATATACTCTGACCATTGTAAGTCTGACATAAATTGCTTTTTAACAAAGGATTAAAACCAGTCTGTATTCATCCATGACATCATGCCAAACCAGTCCTTTTATTAAGCAAAGCATTTTGCTCATAAATATTCATTGGATGGTAGCTTGCCAATTCCAGTGTAAATGTAGCAGTCCCAGATGTCAAAGAACGTAAAACTGTTGAATAGCCCTGGAAAAAAATGTATATCACAAAAGATCATAAGATGAAACTACTTCAAAGACAGAAAAAATAATTTTTACAGATACCTTGAAATACTCTTTTATTGCTAGAGAAGCTGTAATTCAAGAACACAATACAGTATGTTCTGCCTGCAATTGCAAGTTTAAATTTGTTTAATTGCAAGACTACAAAATATGGTTTCCTTGACTGCTTCTGCAAGTTAAATTGACAAGAAATGAGGCTGCTTTACGCACTAAGGTGGTGTGATTTAACTAATTTTTCTTGGAGATTTTTATCATAATACTGTTAGCCCAGTAGAGAGAGGAAAGTGCTGACTGAACTATCTGATAGGATAGCAGAGAAGATGGGCCAGACAATATAATGCTCTAATATATGAACTATACAGCCCAAGAAAGATGCCTTCCTGAATAAACTTAATCTAAGGAGACAACTGTTCTAGATAAAGTTCTTAAATTTTATGGTAGACTTAGAGAAGCTTCCACCAACCCCTCAAAATGTTCAGCTACTTTGTTCTATAATAAACACATGGAATAAGCTGAAGTTTTGTTTCTATAAAGGAGTTAAGGAAACAGCTTGCTTTGAAGCTGAAATGGCTTGATCTGTGGTTGTTTCTTTTGACTGGAATGATGATGCTCATAACAGCCAAGTTCTGTTTTGAGGCTGGAACAAAAGAGCATGTTTTGTTCTGACCTTGAAGCCTAGCATTCAAAATACTGTTTCAAAGTAAAAACATGCTTGTTTATTTATTTATTTGGTAAATTTATATAGCTGCTTATTTCATATACATGTCTCTGAGTGGCATACAAAGTTAAAAACACAAAACAATACAACAAAATAACCAAAAACATAACAAAAATCATTAAAAACAATACAAACTGATAGGATGGATGGACGTGACTGGGGAGAGTGGTCCCTCAAATAACCTGACCCCATGCCATGTAAGGCTTTGTGGGTCAGCACCAGCACCTTGAACTGAACTCAGAAGCAAACTGGTAACCAATGTAACTCACAGAGCAGAGGTGTAACGTGCACTGATCTAGTTGTGCACATAACTGCCCGCATTGCCACATTTTGCACCAGCTGAAGTTTCTGGATGCTCTTCAAAGGCAGCCCCTTATACAGTGTGTTATAGTAACCCGTGCAGGAGATGACCAAGGAGTGAGTGACTAAGCGTAGGGCCCCCTGGTCCAGGAATGGGTGCAAATGGCACACAACCCAAAGTTGGGCAAAAGTCCTCCTAGTCACGACTGCCACATGCTCGTTAAGCAGGAGTCGTGAGTCCAGAAGGACCCCCAGATTGCACACCGCATCTGTCTGAGGCCACGCCACCCCATCCAGAACTAAAGACAGTACATTCCCAGGTCCAGTGGCCCCAAAACCCAAAGCCACTCAGTCTTGCCTTGGTTGAGCCAAAGCCTCTTGCTCCCCATCCAAACCCCCACAGACTCCAGGCACTGAGACATGTTGCCATCTGTACTCATGTTTTTCAGGTTTGCTGTAAAATACTCCACAGTATTCACAATATGCAACTTTAGTTTCTCACCAGTTAAAGCACATACCATCATTTCTGCTAGGGGGACAGCTGCAATCACAACTTGGTTATCTTGGCGACCTTGAATTTCTTTTATGCTGCCTCTTCTCTGTGCAAGGTCAGCAAGTACTACACCAACATAATTTTCAGGCACTGTCACTTCCAGGTTCATGACAGGCTCCAGGATTTGTTTATCAGCATTCTTCAAAGCCTAAGAAATAAAATTATAACTTTCTTAACGCAAATGCTTCTTCAGTGCAAACATCAATCTGCTTAATACTAATTTGCATTAGAAAATCAGCCTGAAATGAAGGTTATATTTGTGTATGAATCAGAAAACCTTACTTCATACAAATTATGAATAACAGAAGTAAAAACATTTTTTAAAATGATATGCCATTTTAAACAGCTTTGTTATGAAGATTATGAATTATGAAGATAATTCAAGCAAAACTACAGAGGGTTAAAAAATTACTATTTGGCCTGGATAAGATCATTTGATTCATACCTTTTGCAGGCAACGAGAAGCACATGCAGAAACTATAGTTAGTGATGTATCAGAGTTTGTAGCCACTGCCCGGACTGTGACTACTACATCTTGAACTGGGAATCCCATAAGTGGTCCTACAATATGAAATATGAGTAACACATTAAAATTTAACATTAAATCAACCACGCAGATGACAATCAGCCTGTTCAGGTAGCATCATTAGTTTTCTTTTCAAGGATACTTTGTAGACTGCAGACTAAACATCTCAAGCCCAGTTCACTGACCCGTAACAAAAATAACTGGGATGACTAAAGATATGTCTGCTGAAATACACACAAAATAAGAAATTGACTCCTTTTTTATTCTAAGTTATCTAAAATAAGATTTCTTATATTACTCTCTGGCTTCAAAGAGGTTTGACTTGGGAGAACTGTTACCTTGGAAACAACAATAAATATTAGAAATGTGCAGCATTTCAGGTCTGAAGCTAAAAATATGCTTCAGAGTAGGAATGAGCATTTGTACTGAACTTGTATGCACCTCTTTATAGAAGCTGTAGTTTTACCTAGGATTGTATTATAGCCATGGGATCCCAAGAAAAGGCACATCCAAGTTAAGTAACAAGGTGCTTCTGAGTGAGCACGATATGCTGTTGGTGCCTCCTTAATTGTGCAATTTCCTGAGATTACATAGCTACTTTATAATCACCGGAAAACATACAGCTTCTTTAAGATGGTACCAACTGATGCAATGTGCATGCCCACACCCATTCCACAAGACTGCACATTTTTAGTGCATATCGTTAGGGATTTAAACATTGAAAGAAAGAAAATAATGACACCTTAGTAATAAACACAAACAGAGAAACTGCAACTATTCTCTCTGGCAGCTTTGTTTATTAGCATCTTCAATTAAAAGAGAGAAAGCAGGAAAGATGCTAATTTCTGCCTGGCAAATCTTGCCAAAATGCTCCTGTAGTAAAAAGTAAACTCAGCTGGACTAATTTTTATTTATCCTTTTCTAAAGTACGTGTGTTACGTTCCAATAATCAGCACAGTTTATAAACTGAACTGGATACTTGTCATTTCTCTTTGACAAGTAATCAGTTGGGCACTGGTTTTTGATAGTGTTTACCTCACAATTTCCATGCAAGTTTGATCATCAATGAAAGACTTAGACCTATAGCATCAAATGTCTTAATAAAGATCATTACACTAATGGGTGAACTCAAGTGAGCTTGCACGTACAGCCTCTTAAGCAGCTGCACAACAACAAATACATACATATGCTCTGAATTGGGCGCCTTTCAGGATTCCTGAAACAATGGGACAACAGCTTTGTTCATTATTTTTTTTAACGTAAGTAGGAAAAAGGTTCAAGTATGTTATCTGAAATACATGAAAAAAATCCAGTTCCCACAAACACCCATAAATTGGGAATAAGGCTATCACATGTAGTCTTCTCTGCAAGGTCCATTACTAACAACCCTATAAAAATACTAAATGCATTTTTCAGAACTGCACTGTATGGAAACATGGAATCAACCAAATGTGAATATACTTAGACACGTCTACAGGGGAAGGAGGAAATGGAAACTACTTCATGATCTAGAATTGCAACATTTTTTTTTAACCGCATCCTATTAGTGTTAATTGAAAAGTACAACAGCTAAACGTATGTCCTCGTTAATTGAAACTTTTTAGAAAATGCTTCATCTTGGGTGATAAAGGATAAAATAAAATGAAGGAATACAATATACTTTTTTGCTAAACATTCATCTTCAATTGATACTTAAGAGCTACTATTTCTTTAACCAACTTCCCAGATCAGACCTATAGCCAGAAATGCTTAGGTATACTTGACACAGTTATTACAGAGTGCTGAGGTTTTCACATTTCTAATTTTTATATTAATCTAAGGGAAAAACAATAAACAGCAAAAGCTTTCAGTAATTAGGCAGACTGACTCTAAGTAATGTAAGGTCTATTGTGACACAAAGCCACAACTGGCAATTAGGATTTATTAGCTTCAACATATTCTCTTTGGCTATCCATATACATGACTTTGCTTAATTGCTTTGATAAATCTTTTCCCATAAATACTTTTGCTCTATTTATAAACTCTTAAGGTTGCAGAACTCAAGTTCAGGACCACACTGCCATATGCTATTATGTATAGAGACTTAACTTTGTTTTAACTTTGTAGGTCTGCTTAACAACAACAAAATCTCTATTTCTTCCAACAAACAATTCTAATATCTTCAGAACAATAGCTGAAATAACTGTTACCTTGAAGGTATGAGGTTGAAATTCCATTTTCTATAGCTTCACGAAGGTTAGGATGAAGTAAGTCATTGATATTTTCAGCATACTCAATGACAGGTGCTGTTGCTGGCATCTCTCCCTCCCCTGGTTTAATTCCCAACTCAATAGTCACTTGATGTCGCTTTTCTCCTATCGTTCTGTCCAGTG